TATCGCATCTCACAAGAAGAAGAATGACACGACGTTACAATTTTTCGAATTTTTTATTATTAATATATATGGATTGTGTTTTAAATACCTTAACTTTGAAAAATAATATAGTTGATTTCAAATACTTTTCAAGAAAAATAACAAATCAAAATTTTGTAATTTTTAGGCGATAGCAACATTATAAATATTAATATCTGCATTATTTATTCTAGAGAACTTGAAACAAACAATTTGAATAACTTAAGTTATGTTTAATATCACTGTAATAAATAATTAATTTTAAAATATACAAGTTTTTTCTTTCTTCTTTCTTGGACAATTTGAATTTTTATTGTGCCACTTTTTTGCAAGAGTGCAAGCAAGCAGCATTATAATTGTTAAAAAATTGTTTTATTACAAAATTTTAAATTTTGTTTTTATTTTAGTTTTTTTCATGGACTTGTTATAAAAATGTTACTTGAATAACGATAATTCAAATACTATGTCTTACTGAAAATCTCCAAAAGCGTTTAATTGCAATAATGTCGTAGTAATTGCATGATTGACAATAATAAGACAGTTCTCATGAGATGTAATTCATGATATATTCATGATATTCCAAAATTGTTCAAGAAATAGGAATATCAATGTAGCTGAAAATCTAGAAATGAATATTTCTTCGGAGGATAAGTTAAGAATATAACTTCTCGTGGGGAGATACTATCTGCGTGAATATCAGCGAGAAAATGCTTGCCGGCAACGTTTCAAAATCTAAACGAGATTTTCGGTGAAATTCGTTCCTCCGTGCAACTCCGATGACAAAATTGCTAAGTGCCGCTGCGTTAGCAGCGTCCGGAATGCATGTGCAGAAAGAGTTTCACAACAAATTTATCAAAGTCACGCTGGGCCACGACTTCGTTTGCATCTTACGCTGAAGAATTCGTTAGTGAAATTCTCAAATCCAAATGAAAAGCTCGTAGAACTTTGCGAGCCACGATACCACGCGACCGCGAAAGTTTTCAAAGTCCGACAACTCAGTATGGATTTGCAGAAGGAATTTGAGTACAACGAGAAGTTTTCCGTTTGCAAGAATTTCATCAAGAGCTTGTTAAGCGTTAAGGGATTTTTACTGTCGCGAGTCGCATTATAATTGTCTTCCGAAAATGTTTTATGACATCAAAGATTTGTCAGATGTAAAAATGCGGCTTTGGGAATGTATACATCAATCGGTAAAATAATGTGACCTCGTCAAAAAAAGATAAACTAATAAAATCAAATTTCATACATATATACATTGATTAATTAATTTAATTGACTTTTGATAGAAACAATCAAATAATTATGATAAAGTGATAAATAAAATATAATGTTGCAATATATTTTAAGCTCATATAAACAGAAAAGTAACTTATTATTTAATACATATATTGCTTCCTAATTTCAAAAGTAAAACAACTAAAAAAAATATATAATTTTCGAGATATTTACTATGAATAAATTAAGTAAACATCATCAATTATCAAAATTGAACTAATTTAACTTCATAAAAATAGTTACAATTTTTTAGTCAATAAATAATTTTTTAAGAATTGTGAAATAAAAATGAATTCTTTTGAAAAAATGGATACCCTTCTGATTAAAAATATATATTTTTTGTTAAAATAATTTGATTAATCAATCATTTTTTGTTAAGTTGAAAAATAATTTTTTCTCTTTTCTGTGTGAGAAATTTACATTCTAAATTTTTTATAATGAAATCTCAAAAAGAGTGTCAACTTTCACTACAGAGTGAATTTTCACTTCAAAAGAAGTGAAATCTTATGAAAATTGTTATTATTTTTCAAGAAGTGAAACATTTTCACTTTTTTTCAAAAGTGATTGCATTTTCACTCTCTTGGAATGAGATTTCACTGCAAGAAATTTAGAGTGTAATTTTTTAAGTTGAATTTCACTTTTAAAGTAAGACAACGATTTCATGAAATAACAAAAAATGATAACTATCAACTGATTCAAAAAAATGTTGCAATGTTATCTATTTAAGTATTACGTTATTTACACTAATTTAGTGTTACACCGTTTTCTTGACAGATGCCATGTTAAGGGATAATGTTCCATGCATAAGCAAGCATGTCCGAATTAAGGTGAGTGAAAAATGACATTATGGACGCCGACAAAGCAGCCGCGTAACGGCCGTTTATTAAATCCGCGTCTTAGCAGCGACACAGAGCGGTTGAACTGGCGGGGTGGATGCGGCAGGGGTGGACGTTGCATTATGTATACGACGCTCGGGTTAAGGAAATCACAAGGGGAGAGTATGCGGTAGAGGGAGACGAAGGAGGAGTCGAATGAATACGATATTGTTACTATCCAAGCGAACGCCGTAAGTTTTGCTCCTCGTTCTACCCATCATTTTGCGTGCTAAGCCCACGCTTCAACGCCGCTACAAATAGCAGTTTGACTCGACTGCGAAATAAATTAGCCAGGAAATTTGAGCTTTTTCAAGTGGAGCAAAAAAGAGAAGAACGGATCTCTGTCGCGAAGGAAAAAAGGGGCCTCAAGGGGGGTAAAAATGAGGTAAGACGCAAGCACAAAATGCGCTTGGATATCAAGAAACAAGGGTACTTTGCCCCTTAGGCGGTTCTTAATAATAAATTCATATCTTGGTCCCTTGTCTGTTTCCCCTATTCTTTACTGCCGCTGTAGACGAGTTCCGCAACCGAGGAATCGTCTTCGCTTCGCGGGACGACTTACCCCACGAAGTAAGGTATCCTTCTTCTCCCTCCTTTCCTCTTGCTTCCACTCGTTTCCTTCAGTCAGTCTACAAATCTCTTTTTTTATGCCGCTTAATAAAACTCGTCTGACATATCTCTAACTGCCGCTACTTAATTTCGAGCCGGCTCGACCTTCTTCAAGGAACGCGAAGGGCTCCGTTACTTCCGCCGGTTGTTACTGACTGTACCGAAGTAGGTTTGTTTGCTTCTCTCCTCTGGACCGTCGTGCATCTCCACCAAGCCTTCGCGGGACCTTTTCGAAGTTATTTCTCCGCTTCCTCTTTGGAGAAGCTCCGAGAAATTCGAATTCCTTTCTGGTCTGACTTTTTCCTCGTATTCTCATCCTCCTGCTCGTAGACGGAACAATGGGATGGTCACAGTCGATTCTAAATCGACAATTTTAAATGGACGGAAAAAGGGCGTACCTCTCGTTATTTGTTGTTTGTCTCTCCGCATAAGATAAGAATATTGATCTTTGTTAAAAGAATAATTTATAAAATTTCAAGATTAATTTATTAAATACTTTAAGATTTCATTATCGAAGATATTTTATTACATTTCTTTCGCTTCAAATTCATCACATATCGCTATATATTACATCGATATAAAATTAATAAATGCATCATAAAAATCGTTTATGCAACCAATCGTAGATGCGAGGTAATATTTCTAATTTTAAACGTTGCTATTACGTGTCTTAAGCAGAATATATAACGATATACAACACATTTGATTGCGAGACATGACTCTTAGTACGCGGTTAATCCCGCATCCCTTTCGGGGATACCAATAATTCAGCATTAGCGCCACGCCAATAGTCCAACGAGTCATCCGATCGGAATAGGATTCCGTCGTGAAAATGCTTTTCTCAATAATTCACCATCGTGGTATATCGTAGTTAATTTTGTTGCAGTAAATAAAAAAAAAGAATGATTTTTTTTTCATTTAAAACAAGGAAAATTTATCTGCAAAGCTAAAAAAAACTTTCGAAAAATTTTAATTTTGTCTGTGCCACAACATGGATAGTATGCACGGCACGCGCGAATTTTGCGACTATCCACTTTTGCACAGCTATGCTTAAAAGTAATATCAATTACAATTTTAATAGAAGCAGAGTGTTTTGGTTAAAACAATATTTTTAGGTGTGCAATTAATTAAGAAATATCTAGAAAGCATATGATGCTGAAGTTCTATTTCTAAAAATATCAATTTCTCGCGTAACTATTCTTATGTGCAAATCATTTAAATATCCCAGAAAATTCTTGTTTATTAAATATTTACTTGCAGAGATTCGTACTGAGACCGACGGCAAGAAAGAAAAAATATATCAAATACCTCACATATATCAAACAATCGTTTTCGCCCTTTATTTTCCATCGAACTCGAAAGGTTTACATTTCACCACCTTCTCTCTTATCCGTAGTCTTTTATGCTAAATGTTCGCTTCATTTGAATATTGCTAATGCGAAAAACCGATCCATACTAATGGAGTGATCCCGCATTCGTTTTCGTAAGCGCCATCGATTCTATTTGCTCGATTCTACATGTCCCGATTCATACTCTTTTTCACGAGATACGTACATGCGTACAATCGTCTCCATATTTCATCCATATCTCCAATTTTATCATAGCTGTAAGCCGCAGATGAAATCCTTGATTGTATGCATTTTATTCCCTCACCTCGCACACGACGAAGGTAACGTATAACGCGAGGACTAACGAATCGAGAAGAAAAAAAATGGGAAAAAAAATATGCGCGTCATATTAAAAATGTGGGAATATTGAGATCCAGTCAAGAATAAACTCTAAACGGTAGTACATAGAATTGTTTTTTTGTGTTTACACAGAACCGCGTTAAACTGTAGCCAACTAATGTTGCGATTTAATTCAAGGAAAGTGCCACTGCGAATCGCGATCTGTTGGCAAATATTAGGTAGAGGTAATTAACGTCGGTATATTTGTCTAGAAGGAAGATCGCGTGACGCGCGCGCGTTCGTCGTGGAGTTTAACCGTGTCAAACCGTATACTTGAACGCGCGTTGCCCGAAGAAACCACGGTATCCGTCAACGGGTGTGCCGTAGAAATTACGTAGTTCGTTGAGAACCGACCGTCTTCGTCGACTTCGTAAACAACCGGGGAATGACAGCACGACATAAACGCGCCAAACAGCTCGCGACGAACCGTCATTACCTTGGTAAACGGTACTGAAGGGATGGCTCGGGGCGCATGCAGGCAAAACGAGACACTTACTGTACAGACGAATCGTCCCGTCGGTTTCTCCACGTGGATTCTTGGCGATGCACTTGTAGCTACCGTAGTCTTCTCTCTGAAAGTAAACCGGTGCGAGCAAATTACTCTCTAAAATGCATAGAAATTTTAATGGAGTAAATATAATAAAATATTTCTTATTAATTATCAACTTAAATTTTAAAACGAAACTTTATCATTTTCTGTATAATCATAACTTTGTGTTAAATTTACTTTTTTATAATTAATAGAAAATAGAATCATGCGAAATATTTTTTTAACCCCTAACCGAGAAGAAAGCATTAACGATCTATCAAATTGTTCTTGTTTCGTTCTCATTGCTTTTGTAAACTCATTGCTCTCTCTCTTTTCTAATAGACGTTAGAGCAGCAGTTTCTGCTGATGCCTTATTTTGTGTATTCGTTTTATTTATTTTCTCATCTATTACTGTAATCATCATTATTCACTTTGTAATTCTTTATCGATGCGCAGTAAATAAATAAATAAATAAATAAATAAATAAATAACTACGTAATCGGACAATTATCATCCAGATATCTTTATTATTCTTCTAAATTTTGAATTGTGCTACACACACACAAAACATTTGAAAAAGAAAACAAAAAAGAATTATTACAAAAAGTGATGCTGGATTATTTATTTGACTATATTAATAAACGAAAATTAGTCACGTCTTCTAAAATGTTAATATCATTATTATTGAATAATGATAAATTATTGTGATATCTATTTAACCATATAATGTCGTATATAAAGCCGTATATTATACATTTTTATTTTGTATGCAGATGAGATTTTGTACTCTGGACGAGTATTTTATTACGCGTCTGTCGCGCTCATCGCCAGTGTGCAACGATCGTGATTTACGATATGGTACTATTATCCAATCGTGAATTTTAACACGGTGTACATAATTAAGTCATGTGTTTTTTTTTAACAGCAATTATGTTGCATTTTAACGTATAATTCTAATTTATTAAACATGCAAAAAAAATAGCGCTTAATTTTCGTATAACATATTGAAAGAGATGAAGATATTTTTATATCATTAATGATTTATATCATTAATGATAAAGCCTCATTCAATTAAAAAAAAAATCTGTTTTTTTGTCTTTTTTCGCAAATCGGCAAATCTTTTTTCTACGGCTGAAAATACGACGAATTTTTGAATGAGCTTCATATTTGAGAACTAAACGGAATTGTTGATCATCGATAAGATGCATGCTTCCACTCACCTGTATATCGTTTATCGTGAGCATCATATGCGTCTTGTAAGATGGCTTATCGGGTAACGACACAGTCTTGTATTTACTGCTTTCGTGAATCATTAGGCCGTCCTCCCTCGCCCAGTAATTCAAAGAAGTCGGATGAGCCTCGGTATAACATTCCAGAATAACGGAGTAACCCAGGGGCGCGCCGACCAATTGGTGCGGTATCCAGAGCATAGGGGGGACTGCAACAGCAGAAGTGATTGATTGGCTCATAAATGTTCCAATTACTAACAATACACGATGGGCCTACGCAATCGATATCTCTTCCCCGCGTCTATAAATCTCGCTCACCGGCTTGGTTGCGAGCGCGTTGCAAAGGGATGACTCGAGACGTTTGCGAATTTTTTGCGAGAATTCAGTTTTTGACATTCCAAAACGAATTTATTTCTCAGAATATACATATCCCAAATCACACTCCGCTATATCAGTCTCGAAGTCAGTATAAAAAAAATTTTCCAATTATGAATATATGAATTTTAACGGCATTATTACTTAAATATTGGTATTGATGATTGTATGATAGAAAGGCCAATAAAGAAAACAAAACACATTGTGGCACGTGGCCTTAACTATCAGTCTGCTAACGATCTGTTCGATTATACGAGAAAAAAGCGTCAGGACATAGATGGGCAAATATTTGTGTTAAAATGTTCGATCTTTTTTGCGATTTTCCATTATCTCTTCGATCATTATAGAAGCAAAATGGAAATATTACACAAACAATTATATACATAATATACATGATATAAATGTTTACGCACCAATATTGCCTTCTGGCAATAGTTCTTTTATTATTTCTTTTTCTCTCATAAAAATTTTTATCGAAGAGCTTCAATTTCAATTTCAATTTCTCCATCATTATTTTAATAAAATAATTATTGAAAAGAAATTATATTAAATAATGATTTAATCATATTATAAAACATTAAAATATACCTATTACATATTAAAACATAGAAATTATTTTTCACATAATTTTAGTTAATACGTCAAGATTGCAATAATATGTTTTTAATGTCTTCTAAATATAACTTAAAAAATAAAAATGTTTTATATGTGAAAAAAGTGGGTGTAAGAACAACTATGCATTTTCATATGGGTTGAGAGAGAAAGAAGAGTATATTTAAAGTTTTATATAAACATAACATGGAAAAAGATGGACTTAATTTTTGCTATATGCCGTGAATCCTAAATGCATATCATGCGGTCCTTTAATAAAAAAGTAATCCCATTTCGATGAACAGCTTCTGTCGTTGTTGTCGGCCCTGATGATAACACTTCCTCGAGGTAAGAACGCTCCAATTTAACTTAAACCTTATAAGAATATACCTAACCCATTTTCTTTCGCAAAGTATCGCAATATTCACGAGAAAAATATCATACAAAACAAGTCAGATATCAATGCTTGACGATTGCACAAATAGTAAGAATATAAACAAAAGCAAACGACTGCGTTTCTCGAATGTAGAGAATAACGGAATTGAATTGAAATTTTTGTTCAAACGCGCGTTATTCCCGGGATAGAAATCAATGAGTAGAAGATGTCGATTTGAAATTATATGTCAAAAATCTGAGCTGACGCATACGATGAAAAGATGCTCGAAATCACATAAATGATTTTAGTATTTAAATAATATATCGGTTATTCGTCGAACAAAATCAAGGACGGAGAAGCTAACTTTACAAATTCCACCGAGAATTAAATGTTCTTTTCTCTCTGTACTCATGTCAAAAATGGTAGAAACTTTATTTTATAAAACGAAAGACTTTTCATATGATGGACAGATAAATTTTTCTCTTAAACTTACGAAATTACGTAGTTTAATTATAAATGAGTTTTAAATCTCTGTTTATTTTTCCTTATACACATCTATTTCTTGATTTATAGAATACTTCTTTTATACGGTCGCAATTTCTCAAAGAAATAAGATCCATCTTATAATCTTTTTCTTTGAATTCAGCAATTTTCTGTAATTTATTGCACAATGGTTACACGAGTCGCAAATCTCCCCGTAAATTAATAACTAATTTTAATTATTTAATAAAATAGAATCATTAAAAGACAACTTGAGAAATGTATCTTACAGTAAAGAGAAAGTACTGCTTTTTTAAAAGGGTTTTCCAGGAAAAGGAAGAAAAACAAAGTTTGTCAGCTCCTAGATACCGGAACGATCGAGTTTGCTCTCGTTTCATCTGGGATCTCCTTTAAGCAAGAGCCTCGGTAAACGGCGACTCGATTAAATGCAATTGTCCTTCGAGTCCTCTAGAAAATGACCACACGAGAGTCCAACCAATCCTTTTTCCGATGACTATTTTTCAATTCTTTCATTCGCTCACAACGACTTTTCCAAATTTTCGTCTCTTGAGCATTTATTAATTTTACTTATAGAATATTACTCTTTTATCGTTTATTATAAATTTATTATTATATAAATGGTATCCTACAACTAATAACAAACACAAAGTGTAAATCTATTCGAATATGTGATAAGAATCTCGAATTGTTTCGTACGTTATTCGGAAATGAACAATTTTTTAATATCCTTGGAATATTTGGGGTCTTGAATCATCGAAAGTCTTAAAAATTTCTTATTTTGAGAAATATATAATATATATAATATATATATATATAAATAGATTCTTAATGTTACAAGTAAAAGTAATTAGAGAATGTTTCCATGACTCTTCTTATAATGCAAGTATTACGAAGTAGCAGAAAAAAAAAAAAGAAAAATCTATTTCTATTCTGTCAGTTTTCCACACAAAAAGTTGGATTTGTCTATAAAATATTTATATAAAACATAATATTAAGATTGAGAAATTTTCGAGAATATTGCGACTGTAATTTTTAACGTCGACGAAGGTAACGCGTACCTAAAATAAATATCATTAAATGTAGCTAACAACGGACGCTTCTGCTAACACGTTCGTGCGAATTCTCCGTTCGTTCACTGTAAAGCGACCCTGCTAGCATCGGTCGTCTCGCCGAAGGGGAGAGAGAGAGAGAAGGGAGGGGTGTTCTTTTTGCCACGTAATACAGGACCGTGAATTACTACGGATTTCAAGGGAGGGATCGCTCTTCTCTGCCTCTCGTGTCTCCCTCCCTTTTTCCCTTCTTTGCTCCGTACCCTCGCTTCGCGACAAGCGCGAGGCAACAGGGAAGGCCTGTCTTCGGATAACGCAAAGGATATCCGACACCTTCTTAAAATGCAAAACATTCCGTCTGAGGGTGAGATGGGACGGGACCGACCTAGGTTGTCCGTAATGCTTCGGATCCTTATTGCGCAGACAAGCTCGAGCTTTACTGGTACGAAGGCCTGCGACTAGAGTCGATCGTTGGACATCCTACTTCGTTTTTTTATCTCAAATTGTTTTCTGCACGCGATGTCAAATTCGATCGATGGAAGCAGAGTGTTTTTCAACGTAAGACACTTCTTCGTATGCACCAACAGTACATTATTTTACGTAATTAATAGCAGGAGATCTATATATATTATAAAGTTTTTTGGAAGGTTTTTGCATCTTTTTTTACGTTCGTATTCTTTCACTGATTTAAAAATACTTGTACTTTCTTAGTAAGAATACGGCAACAACCTATTTCTTCAGATATAAGCTACTAAAAAACTTTCCATTCTTTAATATATCCTTATTCTTTAATTTAATCCATAGAAACGTTCCACTTTATCGGAATTTTAATTAACGAACATATACGTAAGAAAAATAAAAGTAAACGCGTAATTGTATTGATAAAATTATTGCGTTATTACTACAATAAGAAAAATATTATATAATTCTAGTTAAGATATCCAGAATTCTGACTGACCTGAAGAATTACGACCTGCAGAATCTTCTAGCTTATTTGTTTTCAATTAGAAATTGTTCTCAATGTATCAAAAAGGAATTAAAGATTCATAATTCTCACAAAATTTCATTTCAACTCACGGCGTATAACAATACGTGCCTCAGGCGGTAAATTTTTATAGGTAATAGATGTTTTACCGAGCAAAGTGATCCGCGGTGAACGGTGAAGGGTTTAAACATTAGCACGGGCCACTGCGAAATGTAAACGACGTCGAGTTAGATTGCGGAGAACAATGTGTGGAACGACCCGCAAGGTAGATGAAAGCTAATTCAGGTGGAAGTTAAACAGAGTTGAAGGTACGTCCTTTCGGTAAAGGTAGGCTAGGTCGAGACGGGTTAGGTTACAAGAGTTCAGCCTTACATTCATCACGCAAGAGGCCTTGAAGCTTTCTGGATCGGTATGCCCTTTAATAAAGAATGGCTGGACGCGCTGACTTGTTCAGGCAGTATGCAACGTATAAAATTTTGCCTCGATGTTTCCAGTCGAACCGCTACGCGCTGCTTTCCTGTCAAATTATCCGCGTGAGGGGAGAAAAGAAAAATAGACCTGTACGCTTATCAATTATGAAAATTTTTTCTTTAACTTTGTAAAAATTTGTATTAAAGAGAAATAATTACAGATTTAATTTAATTTAATTTAATTTAATTTAATTTAGTTTATTGCAAAGCTTTATGAAAAAGATTTCAAGACTACTTTTATTTCCCGTTATTTCCAACAAGCTTCACTATAACTTTATGACAGGAAAATCATGTATGCTTAAAAGGGAGAAAGATATTACTAATTTTTCAGTTTTTAACAAACGTTTCCCGAAAATGAAAATGAAAATTTGTTCTATCTCTTTTCATGTAAAATTATTATATATTTCTTAAAAATATTATTATCAAATATGAGTATCCTGTGACTAGAGTGTGATATATAAAGAATTTTTTTGAGAATTACTACACTAAGAAAAATGGTCTGATTGGATTAAATAGTAATTTTGTTGGAAAATGGACGAATCAGAATTTTCTGGTTAAATCTATTGGAATTCTATTTGAGATAATTAGAATTCTAATTGATATAATTATTCTGGCAAAAATATAAGAATTTTAATAGATTTTACCAGAAATATTGTATCAACCAGAATTTTCCATAACTAAAATTCCAATAAATTTAACCACAAATTTCTAATTCGTCCTTTTTCAATCAGAAATTTTTTTAGTGTACAATTGTAAAATATCATCAAATAATATAATTTGAATTTTAAAATGATTAAAAATAATTAAAATGATAAAACGACTGAAAACTGTTGATTATCGAGTGTTGATTATCACTTAATTC